TACAAGCCTCTCTCATCTTTTTATGTGGGAGAACTTGCACAATTGGTGGCTGACTAAATACTTTTTTGCCCCACTGTATATGAAGGACAAGAAATTTCTCTGGAAAAAATGGATGAATATTGAAAGAAACAAAATTTACTGAAGATTATAGAGAAACGGAAACAGATTATGAATGGACCTATAACAATAAGGGAGGTTTATGAAGCTATAAAAAAGACTAAAACAGAAAAGGTACATGGACCAGATGGTTTACCAACTTATTACAAATGTTTTGAGGATGAACTCTTACAATCTTTACAAAATACGATGAATTCTATTTTACAGAAGGGAAAGATGCTGGTCAGCTGGAAAGAAGCTAATATAGCATTAATACCTAAAGAGGGCCAAGATTTGACTTCAATAAGAAATTATCAGCCATTATTGAATAATTATAAGTTGTTTACAGCAATTTTGGCTGAGAGGTTGAAAATAATTTTGCAAGAATTTATTCATGAAGATTAATGTGGTTTTTTACCTAAAAACAGTTAAGGGATATTAGAAATGTGTTGGATATTTTGGAATATTTACAGCAACTGTAAATATTATATTATCTGCCACACCTGCATTGATTTTCTTAGACGCAGAGAAGGCCTTTGACAATTTGAACTGGGCTTTTCTGTTTAAAGTTTTCGAAGATACGAACTTTGGAGAGAATCTTATTAAATAGGTAAGATCAATTACACCTCAAAGAAAGCACAAATAACTGTAAATGGAGAACTAACAAAATCCTGTGAGATACAAAAAGGGACAAGACAAGGATTCCCATTGTCTCCACTCCTGTTTATTTTAGTTCTTGAAGTAAACACACAACAGCACTCAATGACATTTCCATGCATTTCAGAAAACAGATTTTTCCAAAAGTGCCAGCACAAGTCACGTTAAGGAGTCAGTCTGCTGCAATTTACTTTGGAGAAAGTTCAAGAACAGGAGGCCTAGCCTGCTGCTCTTGGCCACCTGAGATGGCTGTGGGCACACTGTGTTTTAAGCTTGGAGAAGCAGCTCTGTGGGAAAGGGTGAGAAAACCCACTTCCCCTGCTTCTCCACGGGTAGCAGGAGAAAGAGCAGATAATGGCTCCTTTGGTGCTAGTTCTCAGATTTCGCCACAGGACTTCTGCTGCTAGTAACTGACATCAAATGAGGTGTTCCTCATTCCAATCCAGTCATCTCTTGGGGTTTCGGTGCAGGTAGGACCCGTATTTTGCTTTGTTGCCTAAAGCGGTCAGCACTTCTTTGAGCTGGCATATCTTTGTGCCTGTTCCTACACTTTAGTACTGCCACACAGAAGAACCCAAAGAACTGAAAGTTTTCTTTGCACATTGCATTACTCTTTTGCCACATCTAGATGTTCATCAGTTAGCCTCAGTACTTTTGGAAGAGTTGAAAACATCAGAATTGAATAAGCCAAGGGAAACTGGATTTTTGGACTACAGATTCCATAATCTCCAGCAATTAATCACACTGTGGGAATTGAAGAAAAAAGTCTCTTTCCAAAGACATCTGTACTTATCCATGATGTTACCAAAATGACAAGTGTCATGACATCATAGTGCAAGTTTTGCTCATTTATTTAATATATAGGCTGCCCCAATTTGTTACAACTCTGGGCAGCTCACAAAATGTCGCAAGGTTGCATGCAAGTACATGAAGCAGAGTTTGTATCATGTTGTCACTGCCCCTGAACCCTCCTTCCCCAATGTTCCCTTCCTTGCTCTTTTAGAATTTGGCCAAAATTTTTCCTGTTTTTATCCAAATTACTTTCACATATAGTACAGAAATAAGCAGGTTAATGAAGCAAGGTAGAATGGAAAACAAATATGTGCTAATCCTGACATCAAGATGCCTATGAATTCTCAAGTCGTTTTTAAAAATCATAAATTCTAAAAGTATGCTATGCATAGAACATTGTTTTATTAGTTGTGTTTATTCTACCACCAGATGCCATTTAGGGGAAATTCAATTAAAAGGAATTTCGCACTTTAGATTAGATCCCATCTAATTATTGGCTATAAACAAGTAGTATAAAGGTATCTATAAACATGCAGTTAAGACACAGCAGGGGAGGTGACTGGTTATTCTTGAATCTTAAAAGTTTTTTTAGCTCTTTCATATATTACATGTTTATTGAACTACACTGGCACTGTAGCTCTAGCATAAATTGTAAATGTGTGCAAGTTCAGTGTGCCTCTAATTCAGAGAGTATAGTGGGATTTAATTCCACCTAATGTGCAAAGGCCAGAATTGTTCAATATAACTTAGCAAAATCACTTCCAACTTTATTACTGTTCTTTTCTCTGTGCCTTAATAAAACCCAGTGATTCTCCTATTTTATGCCTTGGGAGTAGGACTCTAATAATTCAGTAGTAAGGAACATACTTTGTATACTTTACACAACCATTCAACAAGTTCAGAATCTGCCAAGACAGAATACAATTACTGTGTTTAAATGATATTCTAATCTATAGTTTGCTTAGCCATGGTTTATTGCATAAGCCACAATGAAGTACACTAAAACAATCTGGTTTTCAGACAATGGCTGATTGACAAGCAAACCACAATTTGGCATAGTGTACTGTGTAAACCAGTGTTTCTCAACCTTGGCAACTTTGAGATGTGTAGACTTCAACTCCCAGAATTCCCCAGCCAGCAAAGTTGGCTGGGGAATTCTGGGAGTTGAAGTCC